AGGGATGTGGCTCTGTGGGTAAGTACCCTCTGGGTTCAATATCCAGTAGGAAAAAAAGAAAAAAAGCTGATTTCTTTATGATGAGCTTGACGCCAGATACTTTTGCCAACATCCTTATTAGTTCTACTACTTTGCTGGTCTCTTGGGCTTCTCATAACACAGTGACTATGTCCCCTGGCACAGTGTTGGACATGAGTAATGACCATGGGCATCCTTGTTACATTCCTGACTTTTAGTGAAAACGCTTCCCAAGTTTAATCATTGAGAATGATGCTCTATGTGGGCTTTTGGTAGATATCCTTTATTAAAATAACAAGGCTTTTGATTTCTAATTTGCCAAGAAATTTTTATCATGAATGGGTGTTGAATCTTGCTAAATGCTATTTCTGGATCTATTTATATCATATGGTGTTTTTCCTTCAATCTGTTAATGTAGTGAATTAACCAAATTAATATATTTCTTAATGTTATCCCGAAATAAACCCTGCATGGTCATGATGATATTTAAAAGTACAATGCTGGACTTAATGTGCTAATATTGTAATTTAATTAGAATTTCTGCATTTATGTCTAATTAAAGATTGATTTTAGTTTTCTTTTGTTGCCCTCTCCTTATCCAATCTCAGTACTAAGGTTATACCATCTTTACAAAATGAGTTGAGTAACTGTTTCTATTTTTCTTTTCTCTGGAACAACTTGCATAGCACAAGAGATTGGAAATTTGGCCCATGAAATGGTCTAGGTCCTGTAGCTTTTATATGGGGAGTGGGAAGAGTTTTGACTATCCAGTCACTTAATTTTACTATTATTAGTCATTTCTGGTTATCAGTGTTTGTTAGATCCATTTGAGTAACTTGTATTCTAGGAAATTATTCATCCCCGTAAATATTCACATTTATTTCATTTTAATTTCATGTGTTTATTTTTTGAGACAGGTTCTAAGTTGCTGAGTCTGGCTTTGAACTTGTGATCCTCTTGGCTTAGCCTCCTGAATTTCTGGGATTACAGGCATGTGCCACTGTACCTGGCTTCAAAGTTCTTGCCACAGAATTATTGGTAGTATTATTCTCCTTTCCCCAACCTTTTATTTATTTGTTTGTTTGTTTGTTTATTTATTTTTGTGGTGATGAGGATCAAACTCAGGATCTCTTGAATTCTAGATAAGCACTCTACCACTGAGTTATATCCTCAGTATTCTTGATCTTCTTTTAATTGAAAACTTTCTTTTTTTGTTGGTGCTAGGGATTGAACCCAGGGCCTTATGCATGTGAGGCAAGCACCCTACCAACTGACTTATAGCCCCAACCCTAAAAACTTTTTTCAAATATTTTTCATACTTGATACAGTCATATGGTTTAAATTTTTTTTTTTTTTTAATTTCACAGTGAACCAGGACAGAAGCTGAGGCAGGAGGCATTCAAGCTTGAGGATAGCCTGGGCAACTAGTGGGATCCTATCTCAAAATATAAACAAACAAAGATACACATTGGACAGACTTGCTCCCATCTGTCTCCCATCTACCAAGTGCAGTTCAACCCCAGGTAACCTCTATTCTTAAATTCTTATTTATCCACTGTCTTTACGCAAATGCAATAAAATCCACTACGTCCCCGAGCAATACATTTTTGGGTATATCATAAATGGCAATTGGTTCTGAACCTCCAGGTCCCCAAACTGGCCAGATGTACACACTTACAGAAATCATTTCATTGAGCTTGTCATAATGTGATCACATAATTCATACCATTAAATTTTTGGAACTTAGGACTTTTGTTTGATTTTTCTATATGTACTTATTTTTTCACCTCCTTCTCAGAAAGATGATATATAGTCTATATACTGATGTGTACCTAACTTTCTCCAATCCATAATACTTCTTAGATCTTATCATATTGGGACGAGAGCTTTCTCATTCTTTTTTAATGCAATGAATGAAATACCTAGTATTCCCATTGTTGGGTGTTTCGTAAGTTATCTTACCTGGTCACACTTTGAATTGTATCATTCACAATCTTTTCTATTCTATATAATGCAGAACAAATAACCTTATACATACATCAGTTTGTATGTGAGAGTGTACCTTGAGCTAAATTCTCAGAAATTATGTTGCTTGGTCAAAGGATACGTGAATTTTCAATTTTGAGAAAAATTGATAAATTGAATTCTACAGAGGTTGAGTCAATTTATATTCCTTCCCACTATTTCCCCCAAAGCTTCACCTACGGAGTATATTATTAAACTTTTCAATTTTTGACAATTTGATAGGTGAAAAATGGTATCTCAGTCTACATTTAATTTGCATTTCTCTTATTCTGAATGATGTTGAGCATATTTTCATGTATTTAAGGGAATTAATATTTTCTATGTGAACTGTCTGTTCAAATCCTTTGCTCATTTTTCTATTTGGATGTTGATTCTTTTCTATTGGTTATTTTTAAAAATAATTTTGTAGTTGTTGAGGGGCCTTTATTTTGTTCATATTTATATGAACATACATATATGAGAACATATGAGAATCAAACCCGGTGCCTCACATATGTGAGGTAAGCCACTGAACCACAACCCTAGCCCTCTATTGGTTATTGATTATGACCTCTTAACATTTTAGGGGGACTGGTTCCTTTGGGATGTAAGCAGAACTGGCTTTTCCTTAGGTCTTTTGATTTTGCTTATGGTGTTTTTTTTCTTCTTCTTTCTGCTATGCAGAACTTTATGGTCAAAGTTATAAAATATTCCACAGTTAGGAAGAAATTATCCTGTTTTCTGTGAGTACATTTATAGCTTTGTGTTTTACCTTTATCTAGAACCTTTAACCACTTGGAAGTTTTTCTGGTGATGCTTTGGGGCAGAGAGCCAATTTTCTTCCAGATGGATTCCACAATTTATGGAATGCTGTCTCTTTTTGACACTAATTTGAAATAGCTCTTCTAACATATACAAATATTTTCTTTTCTTTTTTTTTTTTTAAAGAGAGAGAGAGAGAGAATTTTAATATTTATTTTTTAGTTTTCGGCGGACACAACATCTTTGGTTGTATGTGGTGCTGAGGATCGAACCCGGGATGCACGCATGCCAGGCGAGCGCGCTACCCCAGCATGCCAGGCGAGCCACATCCCCAGCCCTACAAATATTTTCTTATGTAGTTTCCTCTTGATTGATTTGTATCTATTCATTCTCCAACACTCCACTGTTTTCATGTTTTGAGTTTGTGTGCTTTAAGGTTTGCTTAGTGCTAGTTCCACTTCACTATCTACTTGTTCAACTCTCCTCACCATTTTTGTTTGTTTTTCCATATGAATATTAGAATCAGCCTACTAGTTATAAACCAATCCGCAATTTTATCAATGTTTACTATTTATCTTTAAATGAACTTAGAGAGATGACCTCTTTTTGATGCTGAGTCCTTTATTCTTAGAGAAGGAGAAGTTTATTTTGGCTCACAGTTTCAGAGGTTCAGTCCATAATCAGCAGACTTCATTGCTCTGGGCCAGAGATGAGGCTGAACATCATGGTAGAAGAGTGTGGTGGAAGAAAGCAGCTCAGGACATGGTAACCAGAGAAAGAGCTAATGCTGAGTCTGCTGATCCAAAACCATGGGATGTTTTCCCATTTGTTCAGGTCTCCTCTGGTGCCCTTAAACAGTATTTTAGTTTTCTTCATAAGGGTCTTTGCACATTTCTTATTAAGCTGATTCTTAGCTACTTGTATTTGTTATTGTCTGCCACTTGACATTCATTCTCACATGCTTCTCTGTTCCCTTCTGAATTACAGGGGCTGAAAAGCAAAAAAAAAAAAAGAAAGAAAGAAAGAAAAGAAAATCATATTCCCAGAGTACATGACAGAGTTCTGGAGGATTTAGCTCTGACCAATCCCATGCATACGTACAGGAGCAGGAGAATGGAAACGAGAAGGAAACTCCATCCTGCTGCTGTGGTGGCGGCCAAGAACCAAATTTGCCTGGTCTCAGTATTCCAGCAAACGATCAGCACCTTTGTGGACCGGAGGAAACTGTATTGGTGGCAGCGGAGCTGGCTGCCTGACATCTGAATTATGGTTATGATGATAGATTGAAATCATTAATCCCACAACAGCTCTCAACTGATCTTTTAAAATTTTTATCTAATAAAGACTCATATAATGCATAGTATCTGCTAGAAACTGCTAGAAGCAATTTTTAAAAATTACATCTGGATAATTAGACTATTAGGCCTGGTAGTGATTTTGGAAGCAGCTAATTCCCTGTACTCCATTCTGCTAAAAGTACTTGGAATAGTTTTGGGTTTCTGAACTGAATTCTGACTGGTTCAGATTGTTTTTCTTTTCTTCTTTTTTTTTTTCTTTTTGGTGGCACTAAGGATAGATCCCTGGACCTCATACATGCTAAACAAACACTGTACCACTGAATTACATTAGCCATTAAAATAGGATCTTGCTAAACTGCCTCCCACGTTGCTGGGATTTCAGGCATGCAGTACTGTGCTAGTCTTCATATCCACCTATTCTTTTTTCATTGCCTCCTGATCTTGGCTCACTGATACCAGTCCTCTGTTATATCTTTAAACACTTAAACATATTTTTTTTTATCACAAAGCCTTTTGGATTAGTCTATTATTTCTATTTCTTGGTATAAAGTCTCTATTTGTTAGATTTGTAAATTCTTTTTCATAGACCTACACTTTCCTGAGTGCTTTGTAATTTGTGCTTACAGGGATCTAAAGAAGGCCTCACACTAGGGCTTCGGACTCTGGCCCCATTCAGATAGTGTAAGGCCAGAACCTGCACTAGCTCATGGTGAGGTCTCATATGTATAGATGCTTCCCTTCCTCCATGATCACAGACAAGCATCCTACGTCTGGTTACAGCCCCACAGTAATTGAATTATCATTCCCATGGGAGGATTACATGTTCTTAACCTAATAATGTCAGGCTGGATCACATGACTAGCTTTGTCAATAAAATGTAAAGAAAAATAAAGCTGATACTTAGCTACTTGTACTCACAGTTTCAGTTTCAGTGACACTATGAAGCAGAAGTTTGAGTCTCATGTTTTCATTGTCTTCTCTTTTTCCTCTGACACAAGAATGACAACATTACAGATAAAGGCAGCTCCTTCACCCTGGATCACAAAATGAAGAGGATGTGACATGGAGTTGTAGTCAACTGTGAAAGACATGTAATGTCAGCAAGAAATAGACTTGTGGTTGTGAGGCCTTAAGATTAGAGGTTGTTAGTTATTGATGTATAACAGTATTTAAAATGTTTTGTATCATATATTATTTATCATTCCTTTCTCTCTCTCTCTCTCTCTCTTTTGTGGTTGTAGCACTGGGTGGGAAATGAACCCAGGGCCTCACACATGCTAGGCAAAAGCTCTACCACTGAGCTAAACCCTTAGCCCATTAGCTACTATTTCTAAATGTTTAGAGTAGGATAGAGAATTATAGATGAGTGTGATGGTGGACATCTGTAAGCCCGGTAACTCAGGAGGCTGAGGCAGGAGGATCACAAGTTCAAGGCCAGTCTTAGGAATTTAGCAAGACCCTGTCTCAAAATAAAAAGGGCTGGGGATGCAGCTCAGTAGTATAGCACAGCTGAGTTCAATTCTCAGTACCAAAAAGAAAGAAAAAAAAATATATACATATATATATATATATATATATATATATTATGTTGTCTTTTGTTTGTTTGTTTTGTACCAAGAATTGAACCCAGTGGTGCTTAACCACTGAGCCACATCTCCAGCCCTTTTTATATTTTTTATTTTGAGATTGGGTCCTGCTAAATTGCTCAGGCCTCACTAAATTGCTGAGACTGGCTTTGAACTAGTGATCCTCCTGCTTCAGTTTCCTGAGTTGCTGGGATTATAGGCGTGTGCCACCATGCCCAGCTTTTTCTTTACTTATTGTGACAAAATATACATAAAATATACTTAACATTTAATATGTTAAAATGGTAAAGCTTAACCATTAAATTTAACCATTTTAAACGAACAAATGAATGACACTGGGTACATTCACAATGTTGTATAAGCATCACCAGTACTCATTTCCATAACTTTATCATCATTCCAGATAAAAATTCTATACTTATATACAACAAATCCCCACCCCTCTCAACATAAATAGATTCATACAATATTTGCTTCTTGACACCTGGTTTATTTCACTTAGCATGAGGTTTTCAAGGTTCATCCATGTTGTAGCATGCATTAGAATTTGATTCCATTTTAAGACTGAAAAATATTCCATTTCATGTATATACCACATTTTGTTTGTCCAGTCATCTGCTGATGGACACTTGGTTGTTTCCAATTTTGCTATTGTCACTGTGCTTTTCTGATCTATAAGTAGCCAAAATGCACTATCATTAAAAAAAAAATTACACAAAAGTACTATCAGCAGATGCCTATTGAGTTCAATTTGGAGTAAAAAAAAATTTGCTCACTTTGTAGATTCCTGTATTATTTCAATTGTATCAATTACATGTGATTTTAAAAACTAAAAAAGAGTTTTAAAAATAAATACTTCCTTTTTGATCAGAAGAGAGATAAAGAATCACCACGAATGTGTGGGCTTTTTAAAATTGTGGTTAAAAACACATATCATAAACTTCCCCATCTTAATCTTTTTTAAATATGCATGCAAATGTATATTTTTAAATTATTAGGGAAAGCTCGGGTGGCTGCAGTGGTAGTCATCGAGCCACAGAATCTCCATAAATGAAGAGCAGTTGTTTAAAAATTAAAATCACATCTCAGGAAGCTGTATGTGATTAAATGAGACTCTTGAACATGATACTCACTTTTCTCATCCTTTAATTCTCCTACTCTTCTGTATCAGATTTTATGGCTCACAATGATTAATGATTATTAGTAATAACAGTCCCTTTCAAATAAAGCTGAATCTTATCATAGTGGCCCATTCCGAATCTAAATGTGATTAAGAATACACTCAATTTCAGCTATGGTCCCTTGTAGTATAATGCTACTTTGTGTATCTGCTCTGGGTTTTTAACTGAAAATGATACTCTGATTTTTAGCTATTCAAGCTGTGTCACATTGTTCCTGACAGGCCCCTGGAAGTTCTGTGCTGCTATTTCCCAGGTGATCAGAATAAAGTTCAAATGGTCCTTCGTAATATCTTTGCAAAAGGCCAGACCCAAGGAAATGGAAACTTTGAATCAAACGTTTGCTAAATTAGAGCTGGAAGTCCTGGCCTTGGCCCTCAGCTACTCAATACAACTTGAACTTTCAGACTCCTGATTAAAAAGTAAGATCACTCATTGATTTCATGTTCTGGGCTTACTAAACTTCAACAGAATAAGGTAACTACCCACAGCTGACAAATAGCAGCAGTCAGGAAAAAAATGGTTGGCTGTGTGCACTGGGGTTCAACCCCATCAAAGCCAGCTCTACCAGCAAGAGAACCAGCAGTATGGTCTACCTGTAACCAAGGACTCCAGTGCTCCCATGGGAGAGTCTACCTAAAATAAGGACCCAGGGTCAGGAGACCCAGGTTTGAAATTAGCTGAGCCACAAATAGCTAGAGTGTTTCAGGGTGCTATTTCACAACCCTGAGATATCTGCAAGAGGGGTTAATAACACCTGCTTAACAGGATTGCTGCGAAGACTTAGCAACATCATGTGTGTGAGGGCACGTGCGAGGCTGGCCACCAGCGTCCTTCCTCAACTCTCCAGTCTCTCCATCCATGTCCCCTGGGGGCCACTGCCCACAGTGATAAATCATGCTCTCCAACATCAGATCAGTTTAGACAGTTTGACCTTTTTTGTTTGATTTTATTCTTGCAGTGCTGGAGATTGAACCCTAGGCACTTTACCACTGAGCCACATCCCCAGTCCTTTTTTTTTTTTTTTTTTTTTTTTTTTTTTTGAGATAGGGTCTCACCAAATTGCCCAGATTAGTCTCAAACTTGCCATCCTCTTTCCCCAGCTGGGGCAAGTAATTGGGTTACAGGGATGTGCCACTGTGTCCAGCTAGTTTGACCATTTTTAGAAACTAGAACTGATTCATTCTGTAAGTCTCCTACATCCCAGGCTGTATTTCTAAACTAGACGAGCCGTTGCTCAAAGTGCTGTGAGTGAGAATAGATCACTACAATAGGCTATCACAGACAAATAATTCAATAGGAATGAAAACCAAATAATGAAACAGTAGTACACACTGACCTCATTCTTAGAAGGAAACAATATATTTTGGTGGGGGGAACTCAGAGATACTTTACCACAGAGCTACATCCCCAGATCTTTTTGGTTTTTATTTTGAGACAGGATCTCCCCAAGTTCCTGAGGCTGGCCTGGAACTTGTGATCCTCCTGCCTCAGCCTCCCAAGTGGCGGAGATTAGAGGCATGTGCCATCATGTCCGGATGAATTAAAAAAAAAAAAAAAACTTGATATGTAAACATATCACAGAGAAAAAACCAAAAGGAAATATGACAAAATGTTAAAAAATGATCGTCTGAGTTTATGTTCATTCAACATGTGTTGAGGCATGATGTGCTGGCTTCTAGGCTGGGTGTGGGGGATACCATAAACAATTACACGTAGAAAGTCATTGTTCTGGTGAAACATCCTAGTTTGCAGATGATAATAAATAAAGGAGGACCAATGGGATGAGAGATCATCTAGTGAATTTAATCTATTAGACAACAAGTCCCCTGGGAAGAAACATTTGAACTAAAACCTAATAAGTAGGTGGTAGCTAAAAAGCAGGGTAGGAGAGTAGGATTATCATTATAGTAAGATAACCCTGACTTTCATTTTATTTTTTTGGTACTGGGGATTGAACCCAGGGGCACTCTACCACTGAATCACACCCCCAAGCTTTTTATTTTTTGAGACATGGTCTCACTAAGTTGCTTAGAGCCTTGCTAAGATGCTGAGGCTGGTCTTGAACTCTTGATCTTCCTGCCTCAGCTTCTAGATTTTCTGGGATTACAGGTATCGGCCACCTCGCCCGGCCTGACTTTCTTCTTTTTATTTATTTTTCTTAATGAATACAATACTGAGAATCTTTATTGTTCTGTAGGTAATATCTTCCTACTCCAAGGCAAAATACATTTTCTGATCTGTCAATTTCCTAATGTTTACCTGGGGCTGGCTGTGGGCTGGGAGATCCTGAGAACAGAGCTGAACAGCTCAAAATCTTAACACTGGAAAGAACTTTAGAAAATGCCAGCAAACTCTCTTCGTCAAGAAACAGACCCTGAGAGATTAATTAAGCATTTTATCCAGGAGGACAGTGCAAGAGCAGCCGGTCCCACAGCAATGGTCAGATGGTTTGACAAGCTGACTTTCCATTTCAATTTTGAAACTTCTGGTCCAATATATGGCTCTTGATATGGTTGCCCAGAAGCTAAAAATGACTATAAGACATGTCCACTGGTCACCAACATATCACTGCAAGTCTATACTGTGAGAATGCACTGTTCTTCATTTGTATTAGGAAAATGATTTAGTGAGGTAAAATCCTATGCTGGTGAGTCTGTGGCAAAACTGACAATATCAGGCATTACTGATGCTGCTGCCAACCAGAATGCTCCAATCTGAATATCATGTGACAGTATAGTTTCAAATCCATAAAAATGGTAAGACTCTTTGGAACATCTCTAGAACACTTATCCTAAGGAATGGATACTTAAGAGCAATGGCTATGGAGACTCTACAATAAGATAAAAAAGCCAACCATTGGTGCTGATGTGATTTATGTCCACTCTATTTATAACCATGTCTATGAAGAAGCCCTGACCTGCATCCTTATCCCCAGGCTACCAGAATGGCTTTCTTCAAAGCCCTTATTGGCTCCTTGTTGCTGAATTCAATGGACAATTCAGTTCTAAAGCTCACTTGATTGTGGAGAGACATTCACAGCCATACCTCACGTTGGGCCCCTCAACACACTTTCTTCTGCTGGTCTCATTTGGGGGGTCTCCAAGGACCAAGCCTAGGTTTCTTTCTCTATTACCCAAATACTCTCTCTGAGGCATTTTTCATATCCTTTTCCAAACTAGCTCTACTTCCACTTCCAGCTAAGGATTCCCAAATCTTGACCATTTGGATGGGACCTCTCCCCAGGGCTCCAGGCACAGAGCCACCAGCCTGCAGCATATTTCCATTTGGATTCTACCCAGGCTCCTCAAAACATTAAGTCTGAAATGGAACTCTTCCCCAACAAAATTTGCTCACTCACTCTCGGTCTCTCTCGTCATTGCTACCAGATCCACTTTCATCACCTCCTCCTACCTGGATGGTAACAATGGTCTCCCTGAATTGTCACCCATCTCACTCCACCCTTGACGCAGCTGCCAGAAACCCTCCTTAAGTACAAACCCTGTCATGTCATTCCCCTGACTTATGACCCTCAATGGCTCTCTGCCTGCAGGCATATATCCACCTCTTTGGCTGGCACATGAGTCCTTCCCTAAAGTGACCTCTGCTCACCAACAGCACCCCTCACAAGAGCTCTGTGCACTTACTCAACCAAGAGCAAGTGGCAAAGAGGAGGTTCCTTCCTCTTGCATTTATACATGCTGAGCCCCACGAGTGTTACAAAATGTTAAAAAATGATCGTCTGAGTTTATGTTCATTCAACATGTGTTGAGGCATGATGTGCTGGCTTCTAGGCTGGGTGTGGGGGATACCATAAACAATTACACTAAATTTAAGAATCATTCCTACTTTGACTCGTGAACCTCCAGCTGTCCCTTGGGCCCTCATAGAGGCCATCTCATAACCTTTCTCCTACCCCTGGGCCTCTTTAATTTTTTTTTCACTGGTCTATTTCCCTACCAGGAGCTCCTTGGCCACAGGGAGTGGGTATTCCACTGTGTGGGGACAGCCAAGCACATAGGGAAATGAGGGGAGAGGAAGAAAATAAGGGACAATAGTCACTTGTTAAAATGATTGTGAAGAATATGCTTATTTTCTTTCTTTCTGTTTTCTATATTGTCTAGTATGAATTCGTTTTTAAGATGGGTCCAATCTCTCCTAGCTCGCTCCAATAAAAGAACTGGCTCCCTAAGTCAAGTCACCCTCAAGTTCCTCTTTCCCCTGACCCCTTGGGGTCCTCAAGATCCCCACCTCGAGCTCCACAAGTTCCTCAGGACTTGGCAAGGCAGAAAGACTTTCATCTGTTTCCAGCAGACAGAAGGACCACCCACACACAGAAAAATTCCTTGGCCTTGAAAAGGTTACCCTGCTCTTACAGCTGAGTGCCAAAACCCATTTTTGTCCAAATATTCATCTGTATTTATAGGCTGAACACAAGAGGAGAGGTACTTGGACAGACCCTGCCTAAGATGCAGAGAGGGTAGGGGTGATGAAACTTCTGTTATCTATCACCTTGTCAACTTGAGACATCAGTGAAAGACGGGCGTGACCTCTGAAGATTCTTGCCACCTGTTTTTATCAAAACATTAATGATCTTCTCAGGCATCCAAAATTTCAACCATAAACACAGTCTTGTGCTTTTTTAAAATTGATGGAAAATAATCCAATCATATAATGTTCAGTCTGACATTTGCTATTGTTTCCTTAGAAGAAAACAAAAACCTGATTAGTTCCAAAAATAAAATATAAAGAAAAAAATCAGACAAGAAGCAAACCCCATGGCTTAGAAATCATCACTCTGATTAACAGCACATTAAGTGTCACCTGACAAATGGGCTCCTATCTTAAATGCAATTATCACAAATTTCTTGTGATTCCCCACTGTTTGTAGAATTTGTGCCCAGCTCTTGAAGCAACAGCTTAACAGCAATAAATCAAAGGAAACCTCTGTACAGTATAAGGGGAAAACCATTTCACACCTTGGTCAGAAAGACCCTGGAGGCAATGCCGGGCCCTGGCTCAATAGCTGTCCGGGAAGGAACCCACTTCTCTGACCTAAGAGGTCCTTGCATCCCCCATATGGGTGACTTTCACAATTAAGCCCATCCACAGGGCCTGCTGAGACAGTCAAGGCAAGCGAGGCCTCTGCCCTAGGAAAAGTGCTGTCTGGTGTTGCTGGCCTGCTTCCTGGGGATGTGTCTGCCATACTGATGGGGCACTAGGGAGGAAGGTCAAGGGTGGACAGGGATGATGCAGACAGAGCAGGCAGGAAGGGGAGAGTCATTAGAACTGAAAGCGTCTGGCAGGCATTTTTGTCACCAAGAACACACTGTAAACAAGCAGCAATTTCCAAGATTTCTCACTTAACTATATATTTTCTATGCTGCTGGGTACCCATTACCATCCCCTGGAAACTCACCTCACGTAGATTAATTATGTTCTTACCACAGAGAAGAGGAGTAGTTACAAAGGAGGAAAATATGAATGTAGGCCAGAGGAGGATCAATTGATGGATTCACAGCCACACAATCCACAGAGGCACCGTCACAGCCAGGAGACGTCTTTTGTGCTTCATCTGCCAGTAGTTTATTGCAAAGTGAAGTTTTGGTTCAGAACAGAAGGGAAATAAGTCCATCAAGAATAAACTACATGAAGTGGACATTACTTTCTTTTATGCATATATGATTACACAACCAATGTCATTCCACATCATGTACAACCAGAGGAATGAGAAGTTATACTCCATATACGTATAATACATCAAAATACATTCTACTGTTATGTAAGAACAAATTAAAAAAGAAGAAGAAAAAAAGAACAAAATACACCAATTAATGGAGTCAACTCAACAGAACAGTATTTAGTACCAGTTCCAGGGTCGTTCTCAAAAGGTAAGATTTATTAACTCTTCAAATGTTCAAGCTGTACACATTTCTTTTCAGGTTTGCATACAACGTATTTATATCATAACAAAGTCGATTTTTTATATATAAAATAGTACTTCCTCAAGGACTAAAGATGCCAAAAAGTTTCAACCATGAATTAAATATTCGATGTACATTTATAGGTACTATAGAAGATCCGACATAAAAATACGTAACACAGCGAGGTAAGAAAAGCAACGACCCAAATGACTGCACACTTTACTAATCCTGTATCAAAGTAGGAAACAAAATTACATCACATAAATTGAGCTGATTTTAAGAATCTTTATTAGAAGATAAAAGCTACGTCCATAAACCATCATTCTTACAAGAGCTATCAGACAATATAATATGACTTTAAATCCCAAACTATCATACAGTCTTTACTTATCCACATTACCATCTCCATCGGTTGATGCAGCACATCTGAACTCTCATGACAGGTGCAGTGGCCACCAGTGATGACGGGTAATGGTAGCAATAATGATGTGTGCACAGTGGAAGTAGTAAACCTGACCACATGCACGCTTTCAATAACTACTTCCTTTTAGAACAGAGTCAATAAAAATGATGGTTAAAACCAAAACATATTTTATCTGTTCAACCACTTGCCATCTTAACTAGTAAAAGCCAAACACACGTATATTACTTTTTCCATAAAATCTTTACATGCCCAAAATACTTTTAATCCAGGTTCAGATCATTAACAATGAAAAGATGTTTCATTCTTCTTTCTTACTCCCATGGACTTTATCAGGCCTGCGTTGACCAGGCACACAGAAAGATGAATCACTAGAAGACCATTTGGCCGCATGAGTACTCTATTTTAAGGCAAGAATATTTTAACACATACACACAGAGCAATTTATCTGTTGATGAGCTTTATTGAGCCAAACAAGAAAGTGAGGTATGACTTTCCTCAACATAAATACAAATGTCAGAAAGCATAAAGACATCCACAGTGTACAAAACATACCTTAGCCATAACTAAATAGAGAACTCTTCTCAAAGTTCTTATATGCCCCCAAAATACCCAAGATTCTGAATTCTAGAAAAAATACTAGAAATTAAATGTTCTGATATCTTTGTAATAAGGCTCTCCATATAAGGCTACCTTTAATATAAGGCTATTTTGACTTAATTTCTGAAAGTAACAAAAATGCGCACCAAAATTCAAGCTATTCAAGACTAAAGAGAGGCCTTGGTCTTCTGAGGGATGGTAAGGTGATCAGCTTATTGATTAAAAGTAAACTTACGACAAAATCAAAATTAAAGAAAAAATAAAAATGTTTCCTATCATTTTTCAACATACAACTGAACTATCTTGATATAAAAGTGGTTGGATGTATAAGATACTTCTTAGTGCAAAATACATATACCTTTCCATAAATAATTTAAATAGAATATAATCCATGACATGGTATTCAGAAATTGTTTTTAAAATCTACATTGCGTGATTTTTTACAAAAGTAGATCTATTCTTTGTTTTTGAGTTAGAAATGGCCTAACAGCTTATCTTTGGAGATTTATAGTAGATGGCTTTCTAAAACAAAGGATGATACAAATCTAAATTGCAGGCCATTTGGTATGTTAATATGTAAATCATTAGTTTGGGACCCTACAAATGAAAAATGATCATATTACATAGGTGGAAAAAAATATGATCCAGATTTCTGTTCTAGTCCAAAGGATTATAGAGCCTATGTACTTTGAATTATTGAATAGTTTGATGCAGTATATCCAGTGAAAAAAATCTGAATACTAATTGTACTCATGTTCAAACTGTTTTCCTTAAAATGAAAACAGACAGTATTCATTATGACCAAATACGAAGATAAACCAACAACATGGTAGATTGTTATTTTTTTAAGTTTGACAATTACTGCACTCATTTCCTCTACCAAACTCCATGGCATTAAGAGGAAAAAAAAACCCAGCTAATTATTTTTGTCTAATAATTTAATCAAGCACTGTAGAAAAAATGTTGTTCTAAGGGGAAGTTTGGCAGGAATTGCTTATTAAATTTCCAAATTAGATCAAAATAAGAGAAACAAGCTGGGGATATAGATCATTGGTAGAGTGCTTGCCTTGCATTCACAAGGCCCTGGGTTCAATCCCCAGTACCACAACAAAAAAAAAAAAAAAAAAAGAGAGAGAGAGAGAGAAAGAGAGAAACAAAATGGGATTCAAAAAGTTAAATTACCAATCTGAAGAAATAACAACAAAAACAATAAACATTCAAACAGTCACACACTGAGTAACCAGAAAGACTGGCAACCCAAATCTCACTTCCACAGTGATGTCAGGTACCATATGGCTGTAAGGTCCCCGGCTGAGTCTTACAAGAATAGATAGATAGAAAGCACTGGTACCAATCTCACAGAGCTGCTCCAGTGCAAAAATGCTCTAATGTTTGGGGATGGGGAGTTGTGTAAGGAGCTCCAAGTGTAAATGCCAAGTTAAGTGTTCTCTTAATTGAAGAGATCTAGAAATCTGCTTATCTAGTACTTTGTGAAACAGGCCAGTGACTTCACTCACACTTCTGGAGAAAGCCACAAATCAGTCATAGCTTCTGCCTACAAAATGACTCACTCTTGTTATAATTATATAACAAGAACAATTAGAGTTTTGAGTAAAATCCATTGTCTACTCTTGAATAAACCAGGCAGGCCAATCACTGGGACGGCTAAGTTCTTGCTACTGCGGGCTCATTGGGTCCCATCAGCACAATGTCACGTAGTGGGCCAGAGTGCTGCTCTGCTCAATGTCACTGGCACCATGATAGCTCTTCCAACACCTCCTTCTAAGGGAAACTGCCCTGCCAGTTCTCTCCCCACCCAGGAGATGGTCAGGCTTAGTTAGCTTATGCCACTCTGGAATCTAAACAGGGAAAGTGGGAAGAGAGTGAACCAATGGACGTGGAGTGGACCAGACAGTGGAAGAGAAGCAGAATCCTACACAAGTCAGAATGATGCCAATCTGGATGCCAATCCTGGAGGCAGGAGAGGCGATATCAGAACCACCACACTTAAGCAGGCAGCTGCTGCTGTATCCTTCCAATAAACACCCCATTACCTGTGGTGACCTCTGCGCCTCCCTGGAAGGAGAGACTATAATACAAGGAGAAGGGTTTTTGCTTTGTTTTGTTTGAAGTGCTGGGGATTCCACCCAGAGCCTCATGCATGCTTGGCAAGTGCTCTATCACTAAGCTATACCCCCGGGAAAGACACATTTTTTGGTGTATGTGTGTGTACTAGGGATTGAACTCAGGGGCACTCGATCACTGAGCCACATCCCCTGCCCTTTTTTGTATTTTTATTTAGAGACAGGGTCTCACTGAGTTGCTTAGCATCTCACTAAATTGCTGAAGCTAGCTTTGAACTCGAGATCCTCCTGCTTCAGTCTCCTGAGCCACTGGAATTACAGGCCTGTAACACCGTGCCTGGCCAAAAGACACATTTTTGAGGGTCTATTAGCAATAATTGTTTTTGTAATCTAAGCAAATTCTATTAGGATGATCAACTAAGACCAGATATTTATTTTCATAATATTTATAAGTATTAAGCAAAAATAAAATAATCATAAAATGGTATTAACTACGTTTATTTAAAAAACTATCACTTTCATTGCTCTATAAAATTTAGGAACTGTAGCCATTATTCAAGCATTCAATTACCAGTAAGTGGGGATCCTGCTATTCCTAAGAATTTTTATGAAAAGTACCAACTAACATTTATTTTACAGTTATGGCAAAAATACCTCTCTTTAAAATCTTTTTTCCCTCCACATTTTTAACAAACATGTAACATTATAAATGTAGTGAGTTCCAAATCTTGGTTCATAACTTCTTTAGGTTTGCTACCAACATTTGCATTGAAGATCATTAACATTTGCCTAGCATTCATATGATTTATTTAAAATGTAGCCATTAGCAAAAGACCCTTGGGGTATTTGTACAAAATTAAAGAACTGTAAGTATTCAGTCAAATATTACATTAGCAATATTACTCACAAAATTACTCAAAAATGCCAGTAGGGCTGTATCCATCAGAAGTTAGCCAAACTGGAAAACGGGCAAGAGATCTTCTAGCCATGTGGGGATGTGTTACTTACGGATAACACTGATCTTATTCTATTGTCATAATCTACCAAAGAAATTTCAAAATGATCATATTTATGATGATGAATTACATTTCAAAAATCTGGGCTAAGTTTTTGCATAAAGAAGCCTAGGTTAGGGCTAGGGTTGTGGCTCAGTGGTAGAGCAATCGACCCTGGGTTCGATCCTCAGCACCACATAAAAATAAATGAGTGAAATAAAGGTGTTGTGTCCAACTACAACTAAAAATTTAAAAAAAGAAAAAAAAAAGCCTAGGTTAAACCAAAGAACTGGTCTTGAACACAGAAAGGTTTTTTCCACATACAAGCATCTCTCAGAGGGTATTTGCCAGGTAAAGCCTGCTGATGGTCATCCCTACGTATCCCCTAGAGCCCAGCACAACAGTGACATTTGATAGACAAGGCTCCGGCTAAGTGCACACAAAAGATTTTTTTTAAAAAATTGTTTTCTAGGGCAATGCTGCAGGTGAACTACCAAGTCCTGCTTTTGAGACTTTCCTCTCCACGGTAGCAATTCAGTGACATGTGACTTTCATGTAGGTACTGTGGAAAGATGCAGACTCCAACACTACCAGGAAACCCAATCCAGGAAGCTCTGACAAGCTCCCTGCTTCTCAAACCTTTCTATGTAGGGCACCCCAAGATAGGCAGAGGAGAACACAGAAACAGCTCTAACCACTTACCTCCCAGAGAGAGAGGCACCTTAGCTCCACACCCTCTGGTACGCTCCTAGTACTCAAGGAATGCGTGTTGGAGAAGCCCAAGTACAGGTGATAAAGAAGCATTAAAGTAAACCAACCAATAAAAACAAATCATCTTATGTCTCTTATATCTCTGTGTCTCTGTATCTTTAGACAAGTGAACACAGACTCAAATTAACTTAGGTTAATGAAGACAATCAGCTTAATAGGCTTAGAAACCATTAAATGTACATGAATCGAACTGTCCAAAAACTATCAAGAAGCAGTTTTATGGCTTCAGCTTGATGAGTATCTTCAAGCGATTTAGAAATTCAGCTGAACAAAATGTATTTTCTGACGTAGATAGGAATAACAACTCAAAGCCACAACAAAAGCTTTCCATCTGTTCATTAAAACACATTGTTAGGGCTGGGTTTGTAGCTCAGTGGTAGAGTGGTTGCCTCGCACACTTGAGGCCCTGGGTTCAATCCCCAGCACCACATAAAAATAAACAAATAAAAATAAAGATATTGTGTCCATCTACAACTAAAAAAAAATATTTAAAAAAAATTGTTAGCCAGGCGTGATGGCTCACATCTGTAATCCCAGTGATTCCAGAGGCTGATGCAGGAGGATTGCAAGTTCAAGGCCAGCCTCAGCAACTTGTGAGACTCAAAAAGGTGTGTGTGTGGGGGGGGGGGAAGCTGGGGATGTAGCTCACTGGTAAAGCACCCCTGAGTTCAATCCTCAGTACCAAAAACAAAAACCACACAGTCATGAATAAAAACATTCCACAAAAGAGAAATAGAAGAAAACTTCCTCAACATGACAAAGGGTAGCTAGGGGAAAACCCAGGCTAACATTACACTTAATGATGAAGGACAGAAAGCTTTCCCCCTAAGAAAATGAAGAAAACTAGGATGTCCACTCTCACCACTTCTATTTGATACTATATTGGAAGTACAAACTGGAGCTATTAAATAAGAGACACAAATAAGAGGTATCCAGAATGCAAAGAAAAAAGTAAAACTATTTCATTGCAGATGACATGATCTTATATACATATACAACACCCTAAAGAATCCTTGTACAACTATTAAGGCTAATAAGTATGTTCAGCAAGATTACAATACAGATTTATATTAAAATATCAGTTGTATTTGCCAGGTGTGGCAACACATGCCTGCAATCTCAGCAGCTCAGGAGGCTGAGAATTCCAAGTTCCAGGCCAGCCTGGGCAACTTAGTAAGACCCTGTCTCAAAAAAACAAAAAGGGCTGGGGATGTAGCTCAATGGCAGAGCTGGGTTCAATCCAGCAGTGGAATAAATTGAACCAAAGAAACGTTTTTTGCTTTTTTTTTTTTTTTTGCCACTGAAAACTACAAAACAAAAATTAAGGAAGAGCAAAGTAAATGGAAAGACATCCCATATTCATGGACTGATAGACTTAATGTTGTAAAGACAATAAAACTCCCCTAAATGGTCAACAGATGCAATTATCAAAATTTCACCTACTTTTTATTAAGAGAAAAAGATGTGCCAATTCTAAAATTCACATGGAAATCAAAGAAAACAAGAATAGGCCAAACAGCATTGAAGGTGAAGAGGGACTCACACTTGTTGATTTCCAAACTTACTACAAACCTGTGTAGTGCTGGCGTAAGAAAACACATATAGATCACTGGAAAAAAATCTGAGTTAAAAAAATATAAATCTATAGTCAACTGATAAAAGCTGGCCTTCCTTAAATGACTGTAAACCAAGTCTTATAAAGAAAGCAACTGTAACCTACCATTCTAATTTTAAAACTAGAATATTTATGTGATTTATTTTATGTATGTACGTACTGGGGATTGAACCCAGGGTACTCTACCATTGAGTTACATCCTCAGCCCTTTTTTAAACTTTTTGAGACAGGCTGGCCTCAAACTTGCAATCCTTCTGCCTCAGCCTCCCAAGTAGCTGGTATTGCAGGCATGTGCCACCACACCTGGCTGTATTATTTATTTTTAAACAAGCCCTCAGAGCAACATAAATTACTGAATTGAAAAATATGGATAAGCAACTTATCTCAAAGAAAAAAATTTAAACTTTCCATTTCTGTCATGGGAACAAAAATAAACAGTTTTCACATGGATATAAAAATTAAGTCTTACATTAGCTTTATGATTTTGAATTTGACTTCCAAGTATTTCATATGAAAGAATAGTTATGATTTTTTAAAAAATAAAATCATAAAAATGTATATTTTAATGACCAGAGAATAAACATTTTACTTATATCAAAGCTCAGGATCTGTAACCACAAATACTACTTTCCACCAAGGAAGTGAAATTCTCCTGTCATCTGTAATTATAGAGTAGGAAAGCATGGAATTTGTCTGTTTGTTTGTGTTTAGGTAATTGGGGATTGAAGCCAGGGCTTTGCACATGACAGGCAAGCACTCTACCGCTGAGCAACATCCCTGTCTCCAAGTGTGAAATTTTGTCAGAGGTACAATATTGAGTTCGTAAGATACAGATCAAAAAACAATATATATGTTCAACAAGTCATTGTACATGAATACACCTGACATTTACACTTCTTAAAGCAAACAAGCATTTTTAACAATCCACCTTACAAATGGCATCTACTCTGTCACTGGCAGAATTATAGAATCAATTTGAAAATAATAGAAATAACTGAAATCTAGTGGGGGTGGGAGAGTACCCCATACCAATTATAAGAAATTTTAGTTTTAATTTTAATACAATGCTGCATAAATAAGTACACCATAGCACTACTTCAGATATAAATGATATGATGTCACTTAATCCTGAGAGATGAAAGCCAAATAAAATTCCCTCTGGCTTTTACTCACTGAATGTCACTTAAGCTTTCACTATACTTGGTTAAGTGTTCTAAATATTTTTAAATATAAATCATAGAATTTCCTCCAAAGCTACTTAAAATTAAATTTGTTGAAATTATTGCATAAATACAGATTATCAAATTCAATTCCCCAAACTGGCAATTAAGCTCACATTAATAGCCAAAATCTAAGTGCTTATTAGTAACGCATGGGAGAGGTGGAAAATCTAAAAGTTTAGGCACAAGTTAATCACAGAATGGGGCACTATAATCATGCTGGCAGATGCCATTTCACAAGTCTAGGGAAGGTTCCACGACAAATGGAGCAGTAAATCAGGTTTTTTTTTCAGAGGCAGAACTGATATGCCCCTTCCCATGAGTACAGATGGGTTCTGGAAAGGCAGGAAGCAAAACACCATATGAATGCATGCTGAACAAACAGAGAAGTGTATGCAACCTTCCTGGACCAAACTGGAACTTTTCCAGAACATTCCATTAGAGCTTCTACCCATGTTACTTCCTACTCAGCTAGGATATTTCTCAGCCTGGCTCTTCTAAATAATGCAGTAACTGTGAAATGCCTACACTTATTTTTACATATGTGAATGGGTACACAACTGAAATTTTGCAATTTAAAATCCTATCGAGGGGCTAAGGATGTGGCTCATTGGTAAAACATTTGCTTAACAGGCATGAGGCCCTGGGTCAACACCTGGCTCTGCAAAGGGTGGGTGGGGTGGGGTGGGGTGGTAAGCACAGGTGCATTGAGAAAAGGGTGAAATTCTTTTGAAAATCTGAGTTCCCTACACACTGCACTGGTCTCTGAGCTGTCGTTGCTGACATCTAAGGTTTCTACAAACGATATTTGAGGCCTGGGACCTAGCTCAATGGTAGAGTGCTTGCCTAGCATGCATGAAGCCCTGGATTCCATCCCCACCACTGCAAAGATTTTTTAAAAAAAAGAAGAAGAAGAAGAAGAAAAAAAAAACCACATATTTTTTAATTAGAACTAAAGTGGGGGGTGGCTCTAAAGCCTCACAGGAAATATTTTTAAAAGAAATCCTTCATCCTTTCTGATGTTATTTTTAAAAGGAAGTATATATCCAAAAAGGACTGAAAAAAAGTCTGGAAATCAGGTTTCTGAGGCCTAATCCAACACTCATGTGACCATGCCTCAATCACAACCCAATAGGAGCCACCTCCCTGGCTGCTATGATCTGCATGGGACAAAGGGTATACTACTGGGACAAGATAGGCCAGCAGGTCTCCAATATCCCTTTAGTTCCAACTTCCTATGACCCTATAACATATTTAAACCAGGTTTGATAGATTGGATTGTTTATTGCATGCTAAAAAAGACACCCATTTATAGAGGGTCAGAGGGCTCTTGAAATATTCTGTGAAGCTCTGCATTAAGTTTGACATTACAAAGCTTAAGAGTGAATCTGAACTAGGAGTTTTCAGAGTTTTATTTTCATTTCTATAGAAAAGAAGAAAAATAAGCTGCTTCTAGAAAATATCAAGCCAACAAAAAAAATTCTCCCAGCACCAACATTCAACTTAATCCATCTCTACTTCTGCCAGATAACAGGACAGGAAAAGCATCTCACAGAAGTTTAAAAGAGGAAATATTATTTTGACTTACTGGCAGCCACAGTGAAATAATACTTTAACATACTTAAGAATTTACAAATGTGTGGTTAGAAGTAACAACCAAATCCGAGAAAAAAAAAAAGTCACTGTTTTAACCAGCAACTTACAATGAAAACACAGTAGCTAGGCGCCTGTAATCCTAGCAGCTTGGGAGGCTGAGGCAGGAGGATCACAAGTTAAGAAAGCCAGCCTCAGCAATTTAGTAAGGCTCTAAGCAATTTTGAGAGACCCTGCCTCAAAATTAAAAAAGAAACAAAACAAAACAACAGTTGGGCATGTGACTCAGTAATTAAGCACCCTGGGTTCAAAACCTGGTACCAAAACAAAAAGAAAGAAAGAAAGAAAACACAGTATATATGTCAAAGTGAAATATAATCACACTTTAAAACCTTATTCATCTAAGGTTTAATATTTATAATATTGCACTTCACATATATTTCCTTTGTTTTCCTAATCCCCCCAAAATCCCATTTTAGAGAATACAAACCAAGTTACTTATAAGATCAAGTCATCGCTGGGTGCAATGGTACATGCCTATAATCCCAGCAATTCAGGAGGCTGAAGCAGGAGGAGCACAAGTTTGAGGCCAACCTTAGAATGGAGCAAGACCCTGTCTCAAAATAAAAAATAAAAAGGGCTGTGAAGTAACTCAGCAATAGAGCTCCCCTGTGCTTGATTCCAAGTACAACATACGCCTCCCCCACCCCCATAAAAAAAAAGAACAAGTCTGTATGCTCACTTGTGGTAAAATCAAAATAAAGATTTGGGCCTTCTCCTTTTTCTTTAGCTATTCTAATTTAGGATAATATCTGACTTACTAGCACTGATGTAAATCCTAATGAAAAAAATCCTGACATGAAGACTGAATTATGAGAAATATCTAAAAGTACAAGTAAGAAAGATATGCTACTTAATCATTTTTTAAAAGCAGTAAAATTCAGGGCTGGGTGTAGCTTATTGGCATAGCACTTGCCTAGCATGAATGAGGTGCTGGGTTTGATTCCCCAGCACTGCAAAAATAAGCAAAAACAAAACCTAAAGCAGTCACATTCAGAAAAAGTTACAAGAAAAGGCCTCTGCTCCTGAAAATGTTATAACATCCATGAAAACAAATTCTGAGCCAGGTATGGTGGTGCACACCTGTAACCCCTGCAATATGAAAGGCTGAGGCATGAGGATCACCAGTTTGAGGCCAGCCTCAGCAATTTCGCAAGACCCTCAGGAACACAGCAAGACCCTGCCTCAAAATTTAAAAAATAAAATAATAATAAAATGGACTGAGGATGTAGCTCAGTGGTAAAGCACCCCTGGGTTCAATCCCCAGTTTAAAAAAAAGACCCTCCTTCATAAATGGGCAGTGGAACTGCCATCAGTATTTAGCCCACATGCTTCTTTCTGGAAAGCAGCCCTGTGTAAAGTCTGACATCATCAACAAGAGAGTTTTGACTTGTTACTTAAGGGCAACTTGAAGCCTGTGTGTGAACAGTGTTCATGTGTGTGTGCCTATGTGTGGCTATACACGTATGTGTACGGGCATATACGTATCCTTCTCTTTTCAGGCCAGAAGTTTCTACCCCTACATCAGTTGAAATTTTGTGTCCCAGTCTGGACACTGAGGGAAAATGCAGGTGTGTGCAAGAAAGAGGGTCCTAGCCCTCAAGAAAGTTATTTATTTGGGGGAGATAATGCATATTCACATGAAAAGTTCCCAGTACCAGTAAATGGAAGGTGATCATATTTTTATTAGTAATATGAAGGTGCTATGATTTGCATATTATTTGTTTGAATCACAACACCTTAGTCCAAACTGGTAAAAATAAATTTAAAAATCCATGCCACATATTTCAATTATGTTAAAATATGAATAGGGCTGGGGTTATAGCTCAGTGGTTGAGCACTTGCCTAGCACGTATGAGGACCTGGGTTCAATCCTCAGCACCATATAAAATTAGATAAATAAAATAAAGATATTGTGTCCATCTACAACTAAAAAATTTTACAAATACAATGAATATGCAATAAATAACAGAATGTACTAAGTATGAAAAAAAGAAACATATAAATAAGGGGGGGGGAGTAGAGAGAATGATGGAATGAGGTTTTTTTCCCCCAGTACTGGGGGTTGAACCCAGGTCCTTGCACACGCTGGGCAAGCTCTCTCTACCACTTAGCTACATCCCCAGCCCTGGAGTGAGATTTTGAATGGCCTAAATATCAGCTAAACTCAGGAAAGAAAATTGGGGCGGGGGGGACAGCTTTGCTATCATTACATTAGCAATGACAATGAAAAAGAAACGGGGTTCCTCAAAGCTTTGTCAGAACCTACCAGGTGTCAAAACCCCAGCTAATTGCAGTAGCAGCACACCTGAAATTCCAGTGAAATTCCTGTGGCTGAGGCAGGACTGCAGGTTCAGGGCCAGCCCCAACAACTCAATGAAACACTGTCTCAGAATAAAAAATAATAATAATTAAAAAAAAAAAAAAAAAAAAACATAGTAGCTCAGGGGTAGAGGGCTCCTAGGTTCAGTTTCCAGTACACAAAAATAAACAAAACTGCAGGGCTAGGTTTTGGTTTTGGAGATCCAGGTTTTAGCTGCAGCTCCCTCTCTTGCCCTGGGTTTCTACCCATAATAGTCAAAAGTCTGAATGAGCTGATGGCTAATGTTGCTTTAATGACCATTCCTGGTAAGCGCCCCCTCCCCCCTTTTTTTAATAAATACACTTAGGTTCTCTGTTCTATCTACCATTTCCCAATCTTTCTCTCCTCCACTCCCAATAATTATAATGTGCACAATAAATTATTCATAAAACTATGACTTTTAATTTTTTGTTTCTAAATGACTTCTTTTTATCAACTGGTTGAAAAGGCAAAATTCTAGCTCATATTGTTAAAATTTAGCACTAAATGATCACCTTGCACATTATCTAGTACTAAAATTCTAGTCAGATTAATATGGTATATTACTCAATAGTCTTACAAAAAAGAGTTTTACCGTAACTGATTTACAATGGTGAAGATCAGGTCAAATAATTATGTATTCATTGCTTCTAGCTAGCTTAAAACTGACTTAGCTACTCAGCAACTAAGAGTACAGTAATGTTCCTTTTTTAATGATAATCTAGTGACAACACATAAGTATGACTTTGGTATCAAAAGGCTACATAAATATACTTTCATCTGGTGAGTCTCATTAAACTCATGAGGTCTGGGGGGAAAGTTATGAGAATAAGATGACAAATATGGGTTATAATATTGATAATATCAACTATTTCTATTTATCATTTTTATGATGGGAATATTCTTGTTTGGACATCTGAATGTTAGAACAATTATCACCTAGTAACAGCAATGAATTCTAATATTATCCAACAAAACACTAAACAATACAAGCTCTCTTCATTCTTAAATACTTTCTTGAAGTCATTTCAGTAAAGAGATAAAGAAACCCAAAATAGAAAAGGGCGAACATACTCAAGCTTCCATGAAGCGATACGATAAGGTAAATAATAGGCATAAAAATAAAGCAGAGGATAGATAAATATGGAAAAGGTTCTCAAATAATATTCACACTTGTATCCAGCTCCATTATACAGCTTAAATTTTGGCCAAAATTTTAAAGTATTTGTTAAACAGTTCCTGCATTTGACATATGTTTCCAGGATACTTCTGACATTGATACAAGAAATTATAAAACATTTAGAAATGAAAATGTTAGTCAAAAAATAACACTACAAGTTCCAAGCTTCTTCAGAATTCGTTAAGATGGAGAAACATTTGAAAAATAGTACCTTTCTGTTTCAAAGTGTCCAAATAATGTACTTAAAACACACACACACACACACACACACACACAAAACAGAACTATGTAATTGTTCAAGGCAAGGAAGAGACAAATCGAAACCAAATAAATTCCTAAAGTTTGCTCTAGGATCATTGCTCTTCCTTTGCAGCCTCAATCCTATTTACTCCGTAATAAGTAAACTGTTTCATCCCTTCAGCTGGGAAGGATAATTTTTATCCTACCAAGATGATGCCAATGCCCCTGCAGTGCTCACCCAGCAAGAAACACATAAATATGAAGCAGCGTCAACTCTTTCTATCAAACCAAGTGTATGCAAGAATTGATTTGCAATGCATTAATTCAGGAACTCGGCAGAGAGGCTCCTACTATATCTAGCTGATCTAAACTTGAGCTCATGATAACACTGCACAAAGCTATGATAGATGAAAGTGATAGGTAATGCCAACAGAACAATCCCACTGACAACACAAACTCCTCCAAGAATTCTTCCAGGCACTGTGATAGGATACATATCTCCATAGCCAACTGTAGTCATAGAGATAATCACCCACCAGCAGGCAGCGGGGATGCTGGCAAAGTCCTTGTTGGATGTTTCCAGGTCCAACCCATGTTCAAGAAGCTGAGAAAGTGCACTAAAGATTGCCATGGCAACACAAATGAAGACAAGTAACATAACCATCTCTCGGTAACATCGCTTGAGAGTCAAACCAAGTGTCTGAAGACCAATGAAGTGACGGGCAAGCTTAATCACCCAAAAAATCCTCATCATTCTGAGCACCCTCAAGGTGACTCCAGCCCTTTGCAGCTGAGAGTTCTCCCCTGTAAATACTGTCATTAGCACGGAGATGTAATATGGCGTGATTGCCAGTAAGTCAATGATGTTCAGGGGTCTCTTGACAAACTCACACTTGTTTCTGGAGACGATGAACCTCACGATGCACTCTGCAGTGAACCACCCTATGCAGATAGCTTCAATTATCCTGTCGAGAGAACAAAGGAAGAATTGATCATTTTATTTTTAAGCATTTTAATAGCTCTTGAATTTCTTCAGATAGTACTACACTGACATACTAATTCAGTTACTTTTCCAGAAAACATGAAGAACAGACAGCATTACCAACATCATCAGACCCACCAGGACGTAACAGAAGGACAAACAGCACAGTTCTCATGAAAACTGAACTTAATAAAGTTCTTATTTTTATTAATGTTATATGTAAATACAGCATTTAAATGATGGCTTTTTACTTGCCTTTAATACCTAAAAACCTCTCGTTTCGTGGTTTGAAATTAAACTGAGCTGGCCACAGCGTAAAATGTCACTTACTCTCTGGGGACAGCAGTTCTTAACTTCGGTATCAGTTATGAGGCAGGTCAGAATGACATTGTTCCTACCCACAGTGGACATGCTCGCTGTCTTTTGATTATTTCTCTCTTGATAGATTAGAGCAAGTTCAAGATCATGTCCTAAAATGCCCCTCTTCCTCTCCCTCCAATAGTCTTATGCGTGCCCAAGTACCCTCAGCAGGGGAGTGTCTGCCCACAGTGCTCAGCTCAGCTCAGTAGGAAAGGGCTGAGGACTCCCACACTGGGGCAAACCACCATCAGGAATTCCCCAAAGACCACAACTACTTTTTTTTTCCTAAATTATTTTTATGTAGCATATGTTTTAAAAATATAAGTCCACATTTTGCCTAGAGCCATATTTACCAACCTTTCCACATCACTGCACACATTGAAAATAATTAATATTTACACAGCCTACCGGAGCCAAAGGGTAGAATTCTTTAAGCAGAAACCACCATCCTGAGGGCTTTGGCCACCCTGGTCCTGACTCTGTATGCTCTAAGCCTGAGGAAATCAAATCTCAGCCTGCCAGTTAGGAAGCTCTGGCATGAAGAAAGAGGTAATTCAGGAGCAATTGTAAATTAATTAAAAATTTTTAATTGAAAATTAAATTATTACTAGCATATCATCATTCATTTTTTCCACATAATTCTTTCTTACCTAGACTTAAACATCAGAAGTCCAATGGAAAGAGAGAGAGAGCAAAAAAAAAAAAAAATCAGAGTAAGTAGAATAAGTCTAGGTATGGCAATACACTGAAAAGAATTACTCTAGTGCATTCTACAGAACCCAGACTGTACTGGACGTTACTCATGGAAATGAGCAAACACAACTAACCAGGTTTCCTTATCGCAGGGCTTTGCAGTGCCATAAAACTTAACTTCGTTTATTTATTAACTTTTCCTTGTTTTTTGCACAGATATTCACATTCGTAGTCACATTATCGGTTTCTTAAGAATTCTTCCAGGGACTGGGGTTGTAGCTCAGTGGTAGAGCACTTGCCTAGCATGTGCAAGATACTGGATTTGATCCTCAGCACCATGTGAAAATAAATAAACAATCAAATAAATGAAATAAAGGTACTGTGTCCATCTACAATGTAAAAAAAAATACTTCCAGCATTATAATAAAATTGAGTGTGGAGGGTGGGGGGGATTGTTTCACTTAAGTATTGAATAAAGAGTTTCCTCATTTCTTAAATATGATAACAGTATTCTATTGAATGTTTGTGTTGTGATTTATTTAACAGGCTCACTTGATAAACAGTTATGAAGTCTGTTTTTTTTTTGAGAGAGAGAGAGAGAATTTTTTTAATATTTATTTTTTAGTTCTTGGCGGACACAACATCTTTGTTGGTATGTGGTGCTGAGGATCGAACCCGGGCCGCACGCATGCCAGGCAAGCGCACTACCGCTTGAGCCACATCCCCAGCCCCAGTTATGTAGTTTTTAATCTCTGCATACCAAAAACAATGGTACAATGAATATTCTTGTTTTTACATCATTTCATACATAAATTCCAGACTTTGAATAATGTACTGGGTCGAAGGAGATAATTTTGATAGATCTTGCCAAACTACCCCCACAGATGTTATATACTAAACTGCCCTCCTACCCACAAGACAGGTCAGACTTTATTTCCCACAACCTCACCAATGGAAAGTATTATTGAATTTGGTGATCTCTGCCACTCTTACAGATGAAAAATGCTATTGTATGTACCAAAGTAAATTAGTTCACTGTTGTTGTTATTAAAAAAAAATACCCACAAGCTTGGCAGTTTAAAACAACAGAAATTTACTTTCTTACAGAAGCTGGAGTCCAGAAATACAAAATCAGTATCACTGGACTGAAATCAAGATGGCAGCTACGCCATATCTTCTTTGGAAGTTCTGGGAATTCGCTCTTTACCCCTTCCAGCTTCTGGTGGCTGCAGGCATTCCTTGGCTTGGAACCACATCACTCCTCTCTTTGTCACCATGGTCCCACTCTCCCCTCCTCTTCTTCTCTGTCACATCTCCGCCACCTCCTCCTTTTAAGGATACAAGCTATGATGGCACTAGTTACCAACCAGGATAATCCAGGATAACCCCAGCTTCTGAAGATTAATCACATCTCTATATAATTCCTTTAGCCAAGGAGGAGTTGTGCTCCATTTGTGTCCCATGTGTCAAAATGCATTCTATAGTCATGTATAACTAATTAGAACAAATTTTAAAATAAAATAAAATTTTAAAAAATTCCTTTTGCCATATAAAGTAACACTCACCAGTTCCAGGGAATTAGGTCCTTCTTATCTTTTTGGTGGTGAGGGACAGCTAACCACACAAAGTAACCAGGAGGATGCATGCCACAGCCCAGATCATCTAACATCCTTTCTGGTAATGACGTCACAGCTGGCCCCACAATTCCTCTATCATGTTTATTGTGTGCTGCTCTGCTCATGGACTCTGTGGTTGGCAGTAGCTTCCCTGTCCTCACCAGGCTAACAAGAAAGGTCATTGCCACAATGGCCTTCATGAATATGGACGCTTAGAAAACTGGGAGAGTCATAAAACTTGGTAGACCTAAAAAACGGGAAGCTACAATTTTCCAAATTACAGTTTTAACAAGTGTTAATACCTTGCCTCACTTCTCCTGGTAAAGCTCGAATATTCCACGTATTACCCATGTTTCTAAATCCCTTGCAACCCAGTATGGTCATATGACCAGTTCTGACCAATGGGCAGTGAGCAAAATGACTTAGCATTTCTGGGCAGATGCATAGAAGAGTGGGTGTGAGTTCTTTGTCTTGCCATGGCAACCTGGAAGGCACTTATGCTACATGGCTGGCTGTAAGATGATGGGGTTCCTATCAGCCAAAGTCCATGAGTGACTGTGCAGAACAGAGCAAAGACACTTTCCACCCAATCCAGATTGGACACAATATGTGAGCAAAAGGTAAATCTTTGTTGTGTTAAGCCACGGAGACTCCTAAATTGCTTGCTACTCTAGGTGATAAACTGGTAACTACAGAGAGTAGAAAACTGTGTGCTCAGAAGGGACCACAGAAGCACACTTTACTGCAAGAAGACCATTCCCAATCTGCAAATCTAAAGTCTAAAATGTTGCAAAATCCAAAACTTTTTGAGCATTGACATGACACTATAAGTGAAAGATTCCACACTTGATGTCATGAAGCAGTCAAGAAACAGGCACACTACAAATACTGTATAAAATAACCTTCGGGTTATGTGCATAAGGTGTATATGAAACATAAATGAATTGTTTTTTTCAGGTCTTGGATCCCATTCCCAAGAGATCTTATTATGTGTGTACAAATATTCCAAAAACTAAAATCTGAAATACTTCTGGCCCAAAGCATTTCAGATAAATAGTCAATAATAATAATAGCTGTCTTAGGCTAGCTTGTGATAAAATGTACCAGCTCTCTGGCTAACATACTCTTCTCTAGCCAACATGAGCAAGGAGGGGCACTGGCCTTGATGTCAAGAGGCCCTGTGTTCTTTCCCCTCTAATGGATGAGCTTTACCCATCAAGTGGCATAGTTGTGTGGGTCCTACCAGCTCTAAAATCCTAAGATTCTATTAATTACATAAGAGTAAAATTTTTTAATTGTACCAAAAATACCAGAACGCTTTCTAATTATTTCCACCAGCAGTCAAAGTTGTTCAGATTAAAAAGGAAGAAATTCAAATGATGTGGAATAATCTCTCAGAAAGGAAATTTCAAAGAAGCACATCTTTAATGAAGTCCTAGGTGTTCCTCCTGCCCATCCCTCAAGTCAGATGCAGTGTCTTCAGAATTCACACCAAAGGGATGAATCAGTGAGAAACCCCAGGCATCGCTTCCACCTAGGATTATGCCAAGGCAGTCTCCAAAAACAAACACCACTCAGCCTGCCAAACGCCCCATGTTTCCAAATGGCTCTCTTGCCAGTGCCACCAACGACTGCTGAAAGTGAGTACTGTTTACTGAGCACTGCAGAAACAATGGGGTACTCCTGAAGGTTACTTCTACAGAACACCAACAGGAAAAAAGAACTGAAGAACATAACAAGGAACACCATATTCCTTGGAAGTGCAGTCTGCTTGCTTTTGCAGTCCAAACATACAGAAGTTCCTGAATGCATGACTAATAAAAATGTTGACAATTGGGACTGGGAGTATAGCTCAGTTGGTAGAGTGCTTGTCTTGTAAGCCCAAGGCCCTGGGTTCAATCCCCAGCACTGAAAAAAGAAAAAAAAATGTTGACAACTTACTGCAACCTCTCAGTTGGGCACTAGGCAAAGCACTGTATAGACATCATTACACTGAATCCTTTTCAAGAATTCTCTGAGCCAGGTACAATGGCACACCACCTGTAATCCCAGCAACTTGGGAGACAAAGGCAGGAGGATCTCAAATTTAAGGCCAGCCTCAGCAACTTAGTGAGACCCTGTCCCAGAATAAAAAAATAAGAAGGGACTGGGGATGTAGCTCAGTGGTAAAGCATCTTTGGGTTCAATCTCCAATGCCAAAAATAATTAATAATAATAATAATTTGTGAAGTGTGCATTCCCCTAATATCTCCATGCTACAGATAACAAAACTGAGACTGACAGGTTAACCATCTTTTTCTGGCACAACTAAGAA